TCTTACATAGTGAATAAGTTCTTACATGGTGAAAAGTGCAAGGGCAGTCATATCACAGAAACTTTCGGTTTTGATCACGCATCATGAACTATAAACAATCAAGTCAGATATGATTATTCGTTTGATTTTTATACTTGATTTATATGTGAATCCCACATTTCTCCCTTATTATTATTATTATTATTTTAATAAAATGCTAAAGTGGTAGGTAGATGCAAGATAAAGGTAGAAAACATAGTTTAGTGCTGTAAGAGGGCATTGTTCTTTTTTAATGAAACAAATTATATCAGTAATGAATGACTACACACTTATATCAAACAATCCAGAAATGTCTGGGAGAAAAGTTATATTCACTCTCACGTTTGGTTGCTTTACTCCTATTCATCAATTCCACTTTCTTCCCAAGAGCTAACTAACTATACAAAGTGCAGTTTGGAGTTCATATCCTAAAACTACTTTGTGTGTTTAAAATGTATACTTTGTGTATGTGCTCACATCCCTATACAAACTGCATTTTTTCTTAAATTTCAAATGGTATCATAAAGTATCAATTTTTCTGACATGCCTATGTAGTAACTAGTCTTGTAGATCTTCTCATGTTAGTACTTATGTATCTACCTATTTGTTTTAACAGCTACACTGTAACCATTCCTCAGATGAGGAAGAACAATAAAGTGAATGTTTCAATTGTTTATTTCTTATCATTGCAAATTGCACCCTTACATAAGCATTTCATGTGTGCATGTGACTCTGTGTACACGTGTGTAAGTAGTTCCTTAGGTCAAAATTCCAGAAGTGGAATTGCTAGATTTCAATTTTGTCCATTTTTTTCAAATCAATGTGTGTTTAAATTCTACATAACCTGATTTTTTTTTACCAAGTAATTCACCCCAAGTAATCTTTATGTTGTTGCTTCTTTTCAAATATAATAAATATTCATTTTCTTCAGAAGCAAAGTTTCTTATATCTAATGAGTAGAGTGATAAGTGTTCCACATTTCCTTAATTGAGTAAAAATTAGAAAATTATGTGCAGTATTGAACTGTTATCTTTTGATTAAATTGACTATGATTGTAAGTTTATGTGAGATCTAGCTCCTTTATATTCTTGAAAAGAAATGTTTCAACAATTATTTTATATGGAAAAATACAGTAGTAATTTCCCATAACCTTATCATGCACATTAAATGACTAAGCCAAATATTTACTCGTCCCCAAAATATCAATTAGAAATTTTACTTATGCTTGAAATGGACATAGTAAACGGCTCTCCCGAGACAATATTTTATCCCTGGAAGGATTTATCAGCTCCGAGTTTTACTATTTATGCTATTATTAGTGATTAATTTATATACGGTTCAATTTAAATAGTAAAACACTACAAATTCTTTTGTTAAAGTGTATAAACACGTATCTGACTCAGCATTCTTATAATCAACAATAAAAAAGAACTGTATTGACATTAAAAAAATCATGGATTTGAAAAAACAAAAGTTAAAATTTAAAAATAAATGACATGCTGAAATGGTTATAGATACTAAATGTACTCCACTAGTGCTAAGAGGGCTACGTAAGTTACAGGCAGAAGACAATGTCCTGCCAGGAGAAATGGCAGGAGAAGATGCGAGTTTCTTAAGTTCCATTTGCTATTGCTATGAGCTGTAAGCAACACAGATGACTTACCTTCCCGGTATCACAGTCAGTCCCGTCCATTGGCGGATCTAGTTTGGTTCTGCATTCTTTCTCTCCTTCTACCTTGCACCACAACCCTGTGCAAATAACATGCTGAAAACAAGGGCACAATAAGCTAATAAGGGGAAGGTAGCACATTTTTGAGGCTAAGTCAACAGTCTGTGAGAAAGCTATTTTGATGGAACACAAATTATCTGAAGAAAAAGAAACCTTGGGAACTTTTAGTAGTGAACTTACATTGAAACAGCGCATGATTCATTTAAAGTGATGAGGAGATTGATACATGAAAATAGAAAGCCTGGCTAATACGTTGAAATATATTTAAATTTCTGTCCATGACACAGATGTGATTATGCAAGATTAAGTAGCTACAAAAGAAACATGCAAACTAAAAAGCATTATTTGTACCATTGTATGTACCAAGCTGGAGAACTAAAGTGATGCATTTGTGGTATGAATTTAATGGCTCCTATCTGAAAACCTGTCCTTACTTATGCTCTCTGCTTTATGCTTAAACCCCATGGTTAGTACTTCATTATTTCATCATGTAGTCTTGTCCTGTACAATACAGAGATTCTTTGTAAACTGTTATCAGTTATTTTACTTCCATATGAATGAGTTCTACAGCTCTAGAATACAAGGAACTTTTTCTAGGGCCAAGTTAAAGGGAATAAAATATATGTATCTGGGATAAAGCAGCAGAGAAATAGCAACACGAAAGAAAAGAACTCTAAGGAAATGCAAAAGGGAAACCTGTGAGAAACCTGAGCCACAACGATTGTGGCTAGCTTACAGACACAAAGGCATAACTGCTACATTCTTAAAGAGGTTGTCTCTGTAAGACGGTTGAAGCTTTTTAGACACAAGCATATTGTTAACAAATTGCATAGAAATATGAAACCCATGGGGGTATTTACAGGTGATTAGAGTAATCTATAGTGAGATGATTATATTACTGCCTATCCAGGTATGTGGGGAATAGAGTGGAAGAGCACAGGTCAATTGACTGAGCAAGTGCACGGCAGGGTAAAAGACATACTGTGTAACGGGAGGAGGCGTACACGGTGAGGGAGCACTGAACATGATTTTAAAGATAGAAGAACTAGATCTTGAATCGGGAAGGAAAAGACTCCGTATTTGGAGGGAAAAAGATGCTACTTAGTAGTTGCCCAGCAGGTGGATAAGATAAAAAGGCTATTTTAGGAGACTTACATTGGTGGTGGTGTTTCAAACAGACTAACAGTCACTGCAAAGTTAAAATTAACCCATGACCCAAATCCATTAAATATTTTGGGAAAGATATATTTAAACTAATGTTTCAGGCAGGTCTGTTACAACTCTAATACAACTGGGATTTGTCACAACTCTCAAAATACTATTTTCCTCTACTTCATTTATTTTAAAAATTTGGGTTTTGGAAATGTTTGTAAACTCTTAAAAATTCAATAGCCTGTGGCAAGAGTGTGATATATTTTATTTACCTTATTTTATTTGCTGTGACAGTTTTTCTGCTTCAAAATATTTTATACAAATACATCTCATTATGCTTAGGCTATAACTTAAGTGCTTTCACTACACATAATCATTTACCTGAAAGGCATCCAGGACCTTATTTTAAAGAATGCCTAAAATAAATTGCTTCTCTGCTGTATTTTGGACCTTGAAAATAAACAGGGAGGATAACTGTTTATTGTGTACTTTTGTAAGCACATTTATATGTGAATTATGGATCTCTAACCTGAGAATTTTAGTTCCTAAGTTTTTTTTTCCTCCCATGACCTTGCTGTTAAAGGATGTTTTTTAGTCATGGGGCCAAATGCTGTATTTTCCATCATAGAATTTTTGCTTTACTCACATTCAATAAAGCTTAGTTGTGATAACATGAATTATTTTAGTCAAGTTCACCAGTCAACGAATGCATACTGAACTAAAAGAAAAGGTTCTTCTCTATTGTCCTTTGAGAGTAACACTTGCCTGTTGAACACTGTTGGTGGTCTAAATTCTGACCTGCCACCATTATCCACTATTCAAAACAGCAGGTACTCTAATTGATTCCCACTGAGGCACTGAGAACATAAAAGCAAACTTGGCAGCTTTTCAAGATAAGCACAGTCATATAGAACAAATCTCTCAGAGGAGATCTTTTTACCCTTTATATTCTGCAGGTCTGGGGAGCTTATGCTAAATAAATGACAGCCTCTTCTAAAAAAAATAACTCAGATTTAGGGTTTCAAAACAAATTGTCAAAAGCAAGAAAATGCTGAAGCAAGAGTATGGACTGTTTTCACCTTGAGAGGTGGACTACTTCAGATGTATGATATGAGAGCTCTGTAATAAGAAGCCCTTTCTTAAGATAATGGGGTGCAGGGCTGGGTATTTTGTTAGAACCAAACACTCTCTGTATGTTACACAGACCAGAGTCAAATATTTTTTTCAACTTAATTGCTGAAGCCACTTAATATGTTGTCCATTAATAGCAGAACTTTAAGACTCAAATGCTTTGCATAGTAAACCAGGATAGAAATGCACAATTCAGAATCTTCTAGCAAATAAAAACAGTACAACATTCCTTTTTTATTTTTATCTAAAAGAAGACTATAAACAGATGAATTTCAAGTAGGCTTTTAAAATGTTACATAAAAATACTATACATCTATAGCGCAATAGTTTAAATGGGAGGTTACTTGTCCTTGTAAAATTATCATAAAATTTATCTTCAAGGATAACCTGGACCCATGTCTTTCTTTATAGCATGTAGTTCCATTAAGATGTTCTGAAATTCATGTTAAAATAAAAAAATATTAAATGCACATACATAGAAATAACACTTAAATCTTGGACATGTAAAGCATTCTTCCATTTATTACCTCCCAAAACACATTTTCAATAACTTAACAGTTGATTATAAAGGTAATTCAGTGTGGGATAATATTTTCAAAACATCCTTTTCTATCACAGAACACCTTAGTATTATTAAGGTTGGAAAAAAGGAAGTGGGCAGAGAGGGGGCTGTATTTAAAAAAAGAAAAAAAACTCAAAAGAAATAATGAAAAACAAAAGAAGAATAAAAAATAAAAATCTAAAAAAAAAAACGTTTCACAAGAAATTGTACAAACCTGAAAACTCATATAAAATGGAAAAATATTTTTTAAAACTTATAAAAAACAGTGAAACTTACTAAAATAGGCCTAAGAAGTAGAGAATCTAAACTATTCTGTAACCACAGAATACTTAAAATAGATTGCTAAAAATCTTTCCTCAAAGAATGTATTTCATTCAAAAACTAACAATCTTTCAAAAAATTTAGATTCTTAATTTATATTTACTCTCTAGTAAACAGAAAAAGAGGGAACAGTTCTAAACAAACAGTTCTAAATCAGACAGGGATTTTAAAAGAAAGTGAAAATACTAATCTACCCTATTTATTAACTTAGATTTAAAATGCTAAATAAGTTTTAACAGACTGAATCCAGCAAAGCATAAAAAAATGAAATGTACTATGACCATGTTGGGTTTTACTCAGAATACAAGGTTATTATAACATAATTGATTTATGCAATCAAGCAACACCAATAGCTTTAAAATCTACGATTTTTATACTTACAGATAAAAGCATATGATATAATTCACATCTATTCATTAAAAAGAAAAATCTTAGCAAACTAGCCATTAAAGGGAATGTCTTCATGATTAATGGACATCCAGGAAAATCTACAGCAAACATCATTAAAAACAGTATAATGTTGGGAGCTTTCTTTCAAGATTAGTTAAATGGCAAAGATAGCATCTTGGCACAAATATAAGGAAGTGAATACATGATGTACTGAAAGTGGCAAGACAATGAAAAAATACCTGCCAATTGAGACACCTGAACTCAGCAAAAATTTTAACTTATGGCTAAGTAATCTTTAAAGGAAACAAAACTGTTTATCACTAATGGATCTGCCCAAAAGGAACTTCTAAATGACGCACTTTAAGGAAGAATATGATCTCATAGGAAAGGACTCGATTTTAGACCTTATTATAAACCTTTTTTTTTTTTACTGGAAAGAAATACCAGAAATCAAGCTCATTTACACTTAAAAACTTGATCCCTTCACAGGGAAGATCTGGTCACAGTTAATTAAATTTGATATCTTGTTTCACCTCCCCCACTCCACACACTCCAAGACTGCTAGTTGCAGAAGTTAAGTAATAGACATAGGAAGGAAAATGTAATTTATGCATAGCCATCAGATGACAAAGCAAGCTAGAAAGGATTTCTCAATAGAAAGTGTTAAAGAAAGCCAAGGAGTAAGAAGAAATTTAGAGAAAGGAGAACTGTCAATACCTAGTTATTTAATGAACCTCCAAAGAAAAGAATGCAAAGTGGAAAACTATTTGAGGTATTTGAATGAAGAATGATCCAAAATTTCTTAGTATGAAAGAGAAATGCAAGATAAAAAAATTCCCTTTCTGGAATGGTGAGGTAAGTCACCAGAAGACCAACCCTCCTATAGATAAAAACTATAAACTATGCATAGAATACAAAACAACAACAACAACAACACAACTTCCTGGACAGTGAACATGGCAGGTAATTTTTTAGGGAAGCTGAAGTGATTTGGGACAAACTGAATTTGCCATCTTTGCAGCTTTGACCTGATAGTGGCCTGTGGTCATGGCATGACATTGGGTAACTAACATAACAGTGAAAAACATTCCATCTTTTTAAACTCAAGAAGACGGGAACTGTGATGGTCAAAGCTGCCAAAACTGAAGGGACAATCCCAAAAGGAAGAGAGTTAGAGGAGAATTAGTTGTTAGCTGGCACCTGACCCATACATGCATGGGGCACACTCCAAATAATCCAGATAAAGGAGGAATGAACTGATTGAAGATAAGAGCTGCTGTCCACAGTAGAAAACACAGTTTCCAGTTTGAATCTAACAAGATTAATTGCCCATGAAAACAAAAAGAGAGCCATCTTTGTACCCAGAGTACCTGCAACACTGGTTGGCAAACTTTTTCTCTAAAGCGCTACAGAGCTATACTTTAGACTTGTGGCTATATGGTCTCTGCTGCCACTATTCAACACTGTCATTGTAGCCTGA